ACTCAGAAATCCCAAAGTCAGGGCCTAGTTGAAAAAGAGCTCAGAAGAGTCCGTCCAAAGTTTTGATTGTGGCGAGAATCTCCTGGTCACTCACTAAGAAACCTTTGCCAACCCTCAAGACAGAAAGCCATTTTCCCATGTTTTCCTTTAACAGTTTGTCCATGATCCTTCTTGAATTTTTTTGAGACAATCATTTAAGTATTGGACAGGGCAAGGTCATTTAAAAAGGGGAAACCTGGGGCGCCTGGGTGGCTCAGTCGTTAAGCGTCTGTCTTCGGCTCAGGTCATGATTCCAGGTCCTGGGATCGAGCCCCGCATCGGGCTCCCTGCTCCGCGGGAAGCCTGCTTCTCCTTCTCCCACTCCCCCTGCTTGTATTCCCTCTCTCGCTGTGTCTCTCTCTGTCAAATAAAAAAAAAGGGGGGGAACCTATCTGTAGAAATGTGTGTAGCTTGGTGTCACAGGCATCAATACTCACAACTCTAGTCCAGGTCACGTACAACCGGGAAGAGGTGGTCATGCCAATCAAAATGCTTAAGAAACAATGAGGGAGTTACAGAGCAATGATAGTCTCTGATTCACTGATCTGCATGTTCTGCAGTTGGGCCATTAGCCCAGAGCATCTGGCTGGTTCCCTGGTTACTAAGAAGTGAGTCTTCCGGTATTCTAAAGAGCCTTAAATAGTGCACACTTCAGGATGTCACTGAAATCATAGTCTCCTGCAGGCTTAACCGCAGTTATCTGCTGTGTAACGAAAGCTTCTGTAATGAGACCACCTTGTGTTCGCTGTCACAATACGTACTTTAAATGGTGGCCTTTTAATTACTAGGGTGAGAAGGTGGAGGTGGCTAGGCGTGATGAAAGCAACTTCAAATATTGTCCGGCATGTGTCTGTCAAAACAGAGACACCATAAAAAGGGCAAGAAACTGAAGACATTTGACCAAATATGTGTATTGGTAGAATTATGTTTACTGGGGGGCGCCTGGGTGGCTCAGTTCGTTAAGCGACTGCCTTCGGCTCAGGTCATGATCCTGGAGTCCCAGGATCGAGTCCCGCATCGGGCTCCCTGCTCGGCAGGGAGCCTGCTTCTCCCTCTGACCCTCCCCCCTCTCATGTGCTCTCTCTCTCTCATTCTCTCTGTCTCAAATAAATAAATAAAATCTTAAAAAAAAAAAAAAGAATTATGTTTACTGGATCGCTGACAACTGCCATCCTTTTTTTTTTTAATTAATTAATTTATTATTAGAGAGAGAGAAAGTGCTAGGGAGGGACAGAGGGAGAGCATCTCCAGCAGATTCCCCACTGAGCATGGAGCTCAATGCCGGGCTTGATCTCAAGACCCTGAGATCATGACCTAAGCCGAAATCAAGAGTGAGATGCTTAATTTAACTCACTGAGCCACCCGGGCGTCCCAGACAACTGCCATCCTATATGGAGCATCCGGTGCGTGTCTAGCACATAGTAGTCATCCTGTATTTTGGCTACTATGGACAAATGAGTGAATGAATACAAGAATGCAAGAAAACTCTTTCCCGGCCACTGTAAAGAGAGAGCAAACATGCCAAAGTGCTCGCTCCTCAGAAATTTCAACCCAAGAGGTAGGCCACATGTATATACATTTGAAAATTCATATATAAATACTTCTCATAGAGCAACAAGTTTCTATGGATCATTATGTACTTATCCCCACTCCCTCTCCAAACTCTTAAAGTGTATAACTCTTAAAGGACAAAGAGAAGACTGGACAGGGAACAGAAGAACCATGCCCAACAGTTTTCAAAGATGGAAAGGAGGGGTGGGGGTGACTTTAGCACAGCAGAGGAAGCTGAAACCCAAGTGCTAGCTGAGCCAGTGGTTCCCAATCTTGGGCTCACATTAATGTCACCTGGGAGAGAAGCAAATCGGAAGGCCTAGGTTCCACTAGGCATCAGTAGTTTAAAAATCTCTCTAGGTGTTTCAGCTCAGGTCATGATCTCCAGGGTCCTGGAATCAAGCCCCGTGTCGGGCTCACTGCTCAGCACATGCTTGAGGATTTCTCTCCCTCTCCCCCTCCCCCCCTTAAATAAATAAATAAATCTTTTTAAAAAAATCTCTCTGGGTATATGGCAGTCGTCAAAAACTTAAACATGGAGTTACCATATGATTCAACAATTCTACTTCTGGGTATATACCCCAAAGAATTTAAAGTAGACACAAACAGTTATGTGTGTATCTGTCTTCCTAGCAGCATTATTCAGAATAGCCAAAAGGTGGAAGCAACCCAAGAGTCCATCAGTGAATGGATAAACAAAATGGGATATATCCATACAACAGAACATTATTCAGCCTTAACAAGGAAGGAAATTCTGACATGCTTCCCCACTGGGGAACTTGGAAAACTTTATGCTAAGTAAAATAAGCCAGACATAAAAACCAGATATCGTAGGATTCCACTTACATGAGGTACCTAGAGTAGTCAAATTCATAGAAAGTGGAATGGTGGTTTTCAACAATGAGAGCTGTGGAGAGGGACACAGAAGAGAACTGATTAATGTGTGAGGAAACCTGGGAAAGTGGACTTCCTGAGAAGAAAGTTTGGAATCACCAGGAAGGGCTGAGGAGTGGAGCAAATAGGGAATTTGGGTGAAAGTCTGTATATGGAACGGCTAAGATCCTTAATCTCTATCTCCAGTCCCACAGGTGAAAGATTTGTTGGAGAAACTGGATCTGTGAGGCCCCTCCAATTCCAACTGGGTGGCCAAGGGCTTTCAGAATAGCAGTGGGGATTAAACAAAAGTCTGCATGTTGAAAAGTGGGGTCACCAATACCCTTCCTCCTTCTTCTCCTGCTCCCGATGCCAGCATCGAGGAGATATCCCAGGCACTTCAGAAACAACAATTATTTTAAAGAAACAAGAGAAAAAATGGTATCCATAAAACTAGAACAGGCTGTAACGACAAAAAAAGCAATTGGGGCACATGAGAAAACTGAAATCCAAAAGCCAACAAAAAAGTGGAAAGACGGGGCACCTGGGTGGCTCAGTTGGTTGGGTGTCTGCCTTTGGCTTGGCTCATGGTCCCAGGGTCCTGAGATCGAGCCCTGCATCGGGCTCCTTGCTCAGCGGGGAGTCTGCTTCTCCCCCCCCTCAAATAAATAAAATCTTTAAAAATAATAATTAAAAAAAACTAAAAAAAAAAAACTACTAAGAGGAAAGTGCCCCTAACCTTTCAGAGAGGGAATTGCACAGTGTCAGAAATAATAAACTCTTCAGATCAGACAGACATGTCCCTTCAAATTGTAGGAAAGCCTCCGTTAGAAGTTAGTCTAGAAAAGGTGGGTAGGTATTTTTATTTTTATTTTTTTTTTTTTTAAAGATTTTATTTATTTATCTGACAGAGAGAGAGATAGCGACAGCAGGAACACAAGCAGGGGGAGTGGGAGACGGAGACGGAGAAGCAGGCCTCCCGCCGAGCAGGGAGCCCGACGTGGGACTCGATCCCAGGACCCTGGGATCATGACCCGAGCCGAAGGCAGATGCTTAACAACTGAGCCACCCAGGTGCCCCATTGTGGGTAGGTATTTTTAAAAGATGTCTCTTCCTTGAGCTACAAACAAGTGTCTCCCCGTGATCGCTGTGTGTGAACATGTTGACTTCCAGCAGACACAAAACTCCCTGAGGACAGGGGCCCTATTTCATGTTTTCATTCACAGCTGTCTTGCATGTACTATACTAAGCTCTCTCAAAAAAACATGTTGTATGAACCTCTTTGTCTGTACTCTCATACATCAGATTGCTAAACTTGTGTTCATAGCTCTCACACTAATTATTTTATTTTATTTCTTTATTAAAGAGATTTATTTGAGAGAGCACAAGCAGGGACGAGGGGCAGAGGGAGAGGGAGAAGCAGACTCCTGGCTGAGTAGGGAGCCCGAGGTGGAACTCGATCCCAGGACTCCAGGATCATGACCAGAGGCTTAATGGACTGAGCCACCTGGGCACCCCTCTCATACCTAATTTTAGATTTAGAATTTCCTTAGGGACTTTGATTTAACTGAAGCCCAACGGGGTCCTCCAGGGGTCTCAGCTAAGTGTCATTGGAATGTAGGGGAAACTAGTGGTGTTTCAGTACAAGAATGAGTTGAGAGTTCCTTGTCTACTCTATTAACTCTGGCTGGGAGTTGAGAGGTACAGTGCATTTCCTTGCTTCCATGTAATGGAAGTAAAAAAGGGAGGAGGAAGGGGGCACCCGGATTTGAACCAGGGACCTCTTGATCTGCAGTCAAATGCTCTACCCCTGAGCTATACCCCCATGCCCTAGTATCCTTCTCTTCCTTGTCCACTGAAGGTGACTCAGTACCATCAGGTTCCACCCACACTGGAGCTCTGGCGAGCTTTGTGTTCTAAAGCTCCACCTTCTTTTGTATCCATCATCTGCTTTGCCTTTTCTCTTGGCCACCAATAAACTGGGTGGGGACACTTGAAAAATGACATCCTGGAAACTAGCTGAAAAGGAAACTGACAGAGCACCAGCGGAGAAAATGTCCACAAACACTGTGTCAGAATTACCATGGTAGAATCCAGAGGCTAAAAAGCAACCCTAGATATCCCCTTGTTCACTGCCCTGACTCTTGATGGACTGAGGGTGGAAAGGAGAAGGAAGATGTCAGTTAGTTTGGCTGGGATGACTCTCAGGAAATCCTTCTCAGGGCAACCAAGGACAATCTCTTTGGACAAACCGCCTGCTCCTTTCTTGATGGGCAAACAGCAGCCAGCTTCTAGCCTGGGGCACTGCTGCTCCCTGAGCTTTGTGGAGGCTGAGGTGCGCAGCGTCGTTCCTTCTTCTGACATGGGCCCGGGAGAACGGAGGCCTCCTTTCAAGCCTGGCACTCGTGGGCATGGAGTGTAAGGGAGCAGGTCTGAGGACGCCCTCTCTCCTCCCACCTCCTCTCCAAAGGCTAGAGAAGCTGAGCGTGGAGACACCAGCGCCCCCCCCGCCCCACCTCAGGAAAGAAACAGCACACTTGGAAACACAAATAACATCATTGTTTATATAAAAATAGCATTAAGAATTCATCTAAACATCTGTCTTCTATTCAGGTCAAGGGGTGGGAAGGGAAGAGATGCTTTTAGAAGAGAGGGAATTGGGTGACCTCTCCAAAGACAGACGGGCGCTGGCGGAGGGCTGGGGTGTTCCGGCGATAGCCAAATCGACCATTGAACCCCTTGATTGTTTTCAGTTCAGCATTGTAGTGATCATGCCCGGTCACCTGCTGGAGGGAATGCCCTTGGGGGCAGAGAGAGAGGCCTGAGCCCCCATTCAGCCCCCTCTTGCTTTGCCCCTGCTCCCACGGGGCTGGTATAGAATGTGCTCCCCATGTCCCAGCTGAACCCTCCATCCTCAAACGTCTCAAGCCTCTTGATTAAAAGCCAAGGGTTGATGAAGTCCAGGAGACAGACAGCTTTCTAGAAACCAACCCGCACACCAGGAGTAGCACACAGGAGGAGCGTGAATGCTATGTGCTAAGATAGGAGAGGACAGAAACTTCTGGGCTTGGCTGAACTTGCCTTGCTGCCAGGAAGACTGCAAATATTTCACCCTTGCTTCTGACCCATGTGGAGAAAATGGATGAGCTCAATTTGGCCAAATGGTGCAAAGGGTCATGTGACTAGGGTGTGACCAAAGGGCGCTGGGGTTGGGGTGGGAGGAGGGTTCACACTGTCGGAAAAACCTCTCAACCCTTCCTTTCCTGTTGCTCAATTGGGCCTGGAAAAGGAGCAGGACACAGCCTGTTCAGGGAGCAGGGAGGGGAACATGGGCTTTCGAGTTGGAAGGAGTGGAATTCCGATCCCAGCTACCCTCCTCAGCCAGTCACCTCACCTCCCTACACTTGTTTGCCCCGCTGGAGCGCGGGGAGAGCGTGAGCGTAAAACCCACCTGACCTACAGCAGGTGCTTAGTCCCTAAATAGAAGGAGCATGGTGACACCATCAGCTCACGTCTGAGAAGAAAAGGTGGGGACACAGTCCCAAGGCCTCTCCCCCACCCCCCCAAACCAGGGCTCTCTGTGGCCTGATTTCTCTCTCTGAACTGGGGACCTCACACCACTCTTCCAGGGGGATCCACGTCGAGGCTGAAAAGCCAGGCGGCACTTGCCTGCCCCTGCCCAGTTTCTCCTGTTCAGGTATCTCTGTCCTTCCCCAAAAATGTGGAAATAATCCACTATCCAGCCGTCTCTTCCTGTGCCACCGTGATCCTGAGGGTGAGGGAGAAAACACAAGACTGTCAGCCACCATGCTGAGAGGTGCACACGCAAAACTCCCTTTGGGCTTGTTGCAGGGGGAGAGAGCCGAGGTCCCAGCCAGGGGTCGCCAGGCCAGACAGATTAAATATGAATACACGTAGTGACCTATTGCCTCTCAGGGAGAGGCAGCCTAGGTGCCCAGTTAAAGGCTCAGGGTCTGCTGCCAGACAGACTGGTTACTATCCCAGCTCTGCCACTAACAAGCTGTGTGACCCTGGGCCAATGACACAGCTTCTCTGGACCTCAATTTCCTCCTCAGTAAAAGGAGGGTTGCTGTCAGATTTAAGTGAGATAATTCAAATAAAGGGCCTGGCATAGTAAAGGTTCCTTTTTTTTTTTTTTTTTAAGATTTTATTTATTTGAGAGAGGGAGAAAATGAGCAGGGGGAGGGGGAGCAGGGGGAGAAGCAGACTCCCTGCTGAGCAGGGCGCCCCAGGTGGGGCTGGATCCCAGGACCCCAGGATCACGACCTGAAGGCAGACGCTTAACCGACTGAGCAATCCAGGTGCCCCTAATTTACTTTAAAAATAAGCAATATCATGGGGCTCCTGGCTGGCTCAGTCCGCAGAGCATGCCACTCTTGATCTTGGGGTTCTGAGCTCAAGCACCACATTGGCAGCAGAGTTTACTTAAAAACAAAACAAAAACTCCATTATCTTTATGTAAATAATAAATGTAAAAATGACAGTTGTGATGATTAAACCCTTATAAAATGGAACATAGGGGCACCTGGGTGGCTCAGTCATTAAGCGTCTGCCTTCGGCTCAGGTCATGATCCCAGGATTCTGGGATCGAGTCCCACATTGGGCTTCCTCCTGGGCGGGGGGCCTGCTCTCCCTCTCCCACTCCCCCTGCTTGTGTTCCTGCTCTCGCTATCTCTGTCTCTGTCAAATAAATAATAAAATCTTAAAAAATAAAATAAAATAAAATGGAACATAGAAAGTTTCCAAATTGTGCACACCATATTATTTTCAAGCTTTTAAATACTCAAGTTTTTCTCTTTTTTCCTCCCAGACTCTGGTTCCTTTGGTCATAAAAATTAGGCAAGTAGAGAGCCCGTACACACTCCAGCATGGGACATACAGACAGGTCCATACACATACAACGCACACACCCAAACACCAAGACCACACACACACACACACACGCACACCCCACCCCCAAGATTTGTTCACAGAATAACCCCCATTAACCCCGCCTGTCCCCTCCCCATACCACTGTGACATATGTACACAAATACTGAAGGCCAAAGTGTTGGGGAAAGTAGCAGCCATCAGCAAATAGGGACAGGATCTTTGATCCGGGTAGGACTCTGCTGAGGAGAGGCAACACCCACGAGGGAAAAGGCCGGGGGAGAAGCGAGGTCCGCAGAGGTTTGGGAAGTTTCCTTCCCACCTGCTCACAGAAAGTCCCATCGAGCGAACCCCCCCCCCCGCCCCGGCCCCGGTAATTGTGACATCACCAAAGGAGGGCGCCCCGCCTGGAGGGTCTAGGCGTTGCTTTGTCTCGTTCGCTGAAGTCACAAGGATTTTCGCGCTTTTAGAGAATCTGCGGGTCCGTAACGTCAAAAAGGACAATGAAACCGATTGGTTTGGCCGAGGCGGGCTTCAAGCCCCGTTCCCTAAGGTTTGCAGAAACCCCAAATGAGATCGCTCTCAAATTCGGGGGTGGAAAGGGATTCCGTGAGCTCAGTGAGCTCAATCCGGGTCCGCGGCCTGCGCTAGTTCCCTTTCATGGCGAAAGCCGAGGGGGCGGGGGCGGGAATGGGGGAGCCCTCCCGAGCGGTAAGATGCCCGGATTTGGGAAGTCGCGCCCCTCCACCAGGGTCAATCTCTGCGGGGACAGCCGGTGGGATCGTCCGGGGCGCTCTTCTAATAACCTGTTGGGTTTTCCGCAGAATGGGCGGAACCACGCGGCTCTGGAAGTACCCGCGGGCGTGGTGGTCCTGCTGGGCGTTGTAGGGCGGAATCGCCGACCAGAGCTTGGGCCTCAGGAGCTCATAGGCGCGGGCCTTGGTGCTCACCGCCACGCCGTCCAAGACGAAGCTCTTCTCCAGCCGCAGAGGACACTCGCACAAGTGCGACATCCCAACCACTGCAGCCTCCCAGGGCCCTTCTGGTGGGAGTGGAGGGCCCTAGCTAGGCAGGGGCTCCCCTGCGCATTGGTCGCATTGTTACGTGGTGCGGTGTCAAGGACTCCTGTGACACAGACCGTACCGTCCCACCCAACAGGGTAGGCTCTCAGGGCTGTGCGGCCGAGTTACTCGCAAGGCCCTGAGGCGAAGGGTGACTAAGAGCAGACCATGCGGGAGGCGTTGGATTTTGGAGAGGGTATTACTGAACTCTGCTGGTGCGAACGCAGGCCCACTCCTCCTCCTCCCCCCTCCCCACCTTACTACATACATTTACCAAACTCAGTTCCGGGGAAGAGCTCGTACCCAGAATGGGTCAGAAAGAGTTCAGATACCATCTACTTCCAACTCTCATTTTTCGTAATTCTAAATTGAAGCTCAGAAACACTGCGATATTCCCTAAACCCATTTAGTGGCAGATCCAGAACCAGGATTCAGGTCTCCCGACTTCCACTAAGTCCACTTAAAGCACTTCTCCCCCACCTAATTATTTTCATCAGCCGGTACTCCTCCTCCTCCTGTTTGAAACTTTTTTAAAAACCAGGAGAGCCCGCCCTGCTCCGCGGGGAGTCTGCTTCTCCCTCTGACCCTCCCCGCTCTCAGGCTCTCTCTATCTCATTCTCTCTCTCAAATAAATAAATAAAAAATCTTTAAAAAAAAAAAAAAAAAACCAGGAGAGCCCGAATGGGGCTCCCTGCCCAGGGAAAGTCTGCTTCTCCCTCTGCCCCTCCTACAGCCTGTGCTCTAATAAATAAAATCTTTTAAATCTTTAAAATCTTTTAAAAAACCCAGCAGGTTAACACATTACCGTATTTTTTCCTCTAATTTTGTGGATGTGACAGGATACAGCAAATCATGAACGAGTTCCTCTAGTTGCCGTGATTACAGGCAACTTTTTATTTCCAAAATTTCCCCCTTGAATAACAAACCCTTACATAGATGCTTTACACATCAAGGTGACTTACTCAGTGCCCCTCACACCACCTCTACGAGGTGCTATTATCCTAACACGAGACAGAACACGAGACAAAAGGATCAGGGAAATCTTTTATATTCACTATTATATGAAGGCACATTATTTTTTTAAGATTTGAGAGACCGTGAGAGAAGTGCGGCATCAGAGGGGAGAGGGAGCAGACTCTGGGCGAACAGAGCGGGGCTCGATCCCAGGACCCTGAGATCATAACCTGGACAACTGAGCCACCCGGATGCCCCAAAGACACATGTACTCCCATCTATACACAAACCCCACTAATCCTAGCAATTTAATGATCAGCATATACTATGACCGGTAAATTCCCAGAAATCTGAAATTACAGGAAGTCTATAGTTTGAGTCCATTCTATTAGAATTTGGAAAGAACCTGGAAGACAAAAAAGGCAGGGAAAGAGGCCCAGCCCTCACACCTCTTATTTGAAGCAGGAAGGTGAGACATTTCATACAGAGCTCACACAAGGGGATAAAAAGCATTAATTTTATTAATTTTTTAGATATTGAAAGCAAGCAAGCACAAGCGTTGGGGGGCGGGGGGAGCCTGATGCTGGGCTCGACCCAGGGCCCTGGGATCATGATCTGAGCTTAAGGCAGGCACTTAACCCACTGAACCACCCACGTACCCCAAAAGAATTTTAAATGGAGGACCTGGGGATTTCACGTCACATCAAAGACTTCAAATTCACCAGGGTGGAGGGTAGGGTAGGAAGACAGGTCTGTTTTAAGAGACTTCTGGATTTAATATTCCTAAAACCAAGATAGGCTCAGTCTAGACAGCCCTGGTTCTCAATCTTGGCTGCACCTTGGAATCTCCTGGGGATCTTCAAAAAGTACTGACGCCTGGGTCCTACCTCCACAATGACTTAATTAGGTCTGGGACATTGCCTGGACACGTTTCTTAACTCCTCTGGTTGAGAACCACTGATTAGGTCTCGTACATTCCATTCTGGATCTTGGAAGGACAAACATCTTACCAAGTGAGTATGTGCTAGGGTCTAGGCATACTCTAATCTTCGGCCTTACAAGGAACACCTAAGGCTATTTTCAGATACGAGATGTGTGAACACAAATTTTGGTCTAAAAAGCCTATTCCAACATCCAACATCTTTAGGCCAGGCTATTGACCCAAACCTGCTGAATGCTCATTTTTCCCCCAGGCCCCAAATGTCACATAAAGGGTTTAGGAAGAAAAGCACAATGTCCGATGCTTTCAAGCAGAATTTGCCAAGGTTTACGCCCACTGTTGGTTAATTACATCACCTTTTATTCACGAATTAGGGTTTGGCAGGTCCATTATACAGCTATCCTGTCAAAACGTTTTGATAGCAAAAACAATGCAGGTACTTTTAGTAACTTATCTTCCACAAGAGCAAATTTACATGGCAATTGTGTGTTAGGTTTTACAAATACAGTCCTTTAGGTGCTGGTTTACCCAAAGGAAACCTGTAACTGCAAGTGTGCACATATACACACACCTGGTCCTTCCTCACGTCACTCTGTGAACTCCGTGTGTGTCCACCATCTGACCACTCACTCCACCTTATCTCAAATTAAGCACACTGCAGATACTTGGGGTAACCTCTCATCAAACAAACACTATCTACTATCCGCAATTTACTTTGGTAAGGACTCCAAACACAAGTAAGTTTTTACAGCAGAAATCGGGAAGTCCGAAAGTTTCGTAGAGTCACAAAGCACAAGTACTGCATTGAGCAATTTCATTTTACAAAAGGTTAGGGGGCGTCAAGAAGAGTGACAGAACAAGAAGGCAAACACTGAGAGCAAATAATTTTTAATTAACAAATACACCAAAGAATCATGCAATGCTGCCAGCATTGGATGCAATCCTAGGCCACAAGTCTGCACACTCCTTTGCGACTGGTCCTGTGATAGCAGAACCTACATAAAAAAAAGAATGAGATGACAGATAAGATCAGGTAGGTCCAGAGATTAAATCATCCCATCTCAAAGACCTAGGCATCACTGTGCTTTCTTTCTTACCTTTCATTTCACCTTTGTTGTTTACTATGACCCCCGCATTATCTTCAAAATAGAGAAACACACCATCTTTTCTCCGGTATGACTTTCGTTGTCGAATTACCACTGCTGGATGCACTAAGAGGGAAAACAGGACAGCAGTCACTTACCTGTCAAGTAAGTGACACCACAAGAAAGCAGTTTACATCTCATCCAGTTCCCCAACATTTCCCACTTGAACAGAATGTAGACTCACCGTTTGCTTTTTATTTCCTAAAAGTAAGTGTGAAAGAGCAAATACCAATCGCCCTTTAAGGAAAGACCTTACTCCAAGTCAAACAGCCAGCACTTCCTCCAAGTGTAAATCTATACTCTTTTTAGAACAATTAGCAACACACTAGTAGCAGGAAACTTGCCAAGCGCCTTCTATACTTGTTCCCATTTCACCCAACAGGTGGATACTGTTAAGATCCTAGTACCGCAGGGGGCGCCTGGGTGGCTCAGTTGTTACGCGTCTGCCTTCGGCTCAGGTCATGATCCCAGGGTCCTGGAATCAAGCCCCGTATCAGGCTCCCTGATCAGCTGGAAGCCTGTTTCTCCCTCTCCCACTCCCCCTGCTTGTGTTCCATCTCTCGCTGTCTCTATGTCAAATAAATAAAATCTTAAAAAAAAAAAAAAAAAAAAAATCCTAGTACCACAAAATGGGAACCCCTTTGGGCCTGCGTAAGTAGAGGCCAAGCTATTAACTCATTAGGCAATATTCCATCCCAGTATATATCAAAACCTCCAAGAAAGTACATACCTTGATCTAAAAATTACTGCTTTTGAAAGTTTGTTGGGATTAAATATGTACCATCTTAGATTTTAAGAGAAGCTCATTTACACACAAAATTTTTTTTTTAAGATTTTATTTATTTATTTGACAGAGAGACAGAAGAGCACAAGCAGAGGGAATGGCAGAGGGAGAGGGAGAAGCAAGCTCTGCACTGAGCAGGGAACCCAATGTGGGACTCGATCCCAGGAACCTGAGATCATGACCTGACCCGAAGGCAGACGCTTAACCATCTGAGCCACCCAGGCGCCCATTTACACACAAATTTAACCAAAGAAACCTACAACTAAAGATGCACATATACGTATACACACTCCTTGAGCCCCAGGAGTACATCCCAGGATCTTGACCACACACTCTACACCTTATCTCAAATGCCCAACTGCAGGCACATGTGTTATTAGAGCAAAAACTTGGAATTAACCTATCTCATGGCAAATACACAAAAACAGAATTATTTAAAAATGATTATGTCCATCTGTAACTTTTCACATGTAGGACAACAATCATTTATGAAGCAAAAAGAACGAGTTATGGGAAGGCCATGGTCCCATTTAAAAAGTAAAGTTTACAAGCTAATTTTTTGCACATTAAGGCAAAAAGAAAAGACAGGGCACCTGGGTGACTCAGTTGCTTAAGTATCTGCCTTTGACTCAGGTCATGATCTCCGGGTCCCGGGATCAAGCCCTGCATCGGGCTCCCTGCTCAGCGGGGAGTCTGCATCTCCCTCTACCCCTTCTCTCCCACTTGTGTGCTCGCCCTCTCTCAAATAAATAAGATAAAATCTTAAAAAAAAAAAAAAAAAGGCAACAAAATATTAACCGCGATCATCTCTTGGAAATCTGAAAGTAGGGTAATTGAAATTTAATTTCTGAAGCACCTGGGTGGCTCAGTTGTTAAGCGTCTGCCTTCGGCTCAGGTCATGGTCCCGGGGTCCTGGGATCGAGCCCCGCATCGGGCTCCCTGCTCGGCGGGAAGCCTGCTTCTCCCTCTCCCACTCCCCCTGCTTGTGTTCCCTATCGCTGTCGCTGTCTCTCTCCGTCAAATAAAATCTTAAAACAAAAACAAAGACCCGGAGATCAAGAGTCACATGCTCTACTGACTGAGCCAGCCAGGCGCCCCTACTCATAACCATTTAAATTCTCACAAATGACCACTCTAGTAGATGAGTGAGACCACACACCAATCCAGGACTCTGGACTTCCAGAACTGCCCCTTTCCACATTTCTGTCTGTTATATGTAAGTCTAAGGTGAGGGGATGTATTCATTCAGCAGAAACAAGGACAAGTAAGATTAACAGAGTTAATAGAGTTGGCAATTCGCTATTTTTCAAACCATCAA